CGCTTGGGGGGCCGTTACTAGTCGGAAGAAGGGGTAACTGGGTTGGGTATGGAAGACAGAGTTAAACAAAGATGGGGATGTCTGAGCAGTAACCAACTTATCACTCCCCCTCCCGCTCCATGCAATGTGCAGCGGGGTCCTGATTATCCTGAGCGACTACCGATGCCGTATGAAATTATTTATAGTTTGTGTATGCATTAGGGCTTGTTGGGCAGGTACTGCTAGGATGTCTAGCTACTAGGCAGTGGCGTTCGTGCATCTCCTCAATTCCTTTGCAACCTTAGACCACTGAACTTCTCCATTTTCTTTTCGACTCCACTTTCCTTTCTTCTCCTATTCTTCATCCAAATGGGCAGCCAAAAGACAGCAACCAAAACCGGCGCACGAAAGTGCATGGTTAGTGGTTGTTCAAACTGAACTGAAACTGAAACTCTAGCTACTGGACAGAAAAACGATTAGGGTTCTCAAGCAAAGCCTTACGTTCTGAATCTAACCGCAAAGCAGCGGGTGGAGCGAAGTGGAGACCAATTTACTTGAATTCATTACTCCTCCATTACTTTTTACCGACTGAAACGCAAATTCCAGTCGAACCCCCTACCTGGAGATCAAGGAGACCTGACATTGTCTGAACTGTACTGTTCACCCTTCCATTCATGAATAATTTTTCGGTTTGGAAAAAGCTATTCTATGCAGCTCGTTGGGTCAGAGAGGCGCGCAAGCCATCGCGACACTTCAATGTACAATTTATTCGTGATGGGAATAATAAGCTGCGACACTTCGCTCAGTTGCTAGTGACTCACACTGAGCCGCTGAGTCATACAGTTCATAGGCGACTAGTGACTTGAAACCGGTGAACGCGTGAGCGTTCAGCGTTGACAGTTAATTGACTCCCGACACCGGCCACCCTTGGCACAAAACACCAAATTGCCTGGCACGTGGAGAGTAAATCGTGAGGATAAAGTTGAATCTAAAGAACGCGGCGTTGTGTTTGAGTTCATTCCTTTATACGTGCTTCGACGGTACAATATACGTCTTCATTTCAAAGTTTGAGGGATTCTAGCCAAGAAAGATTGTTAGCGGATCTGATAAAGTGTGCAGATATTGAATGCGATTATCACCAGAACCTAGGCGTTGCTTATCAAGTTGTTTCGCCAGACTGGCTCGGTGCGACCTAGTGTTTAAACATTATTTAGAATCCTCCGTTTGTTCTTTTCTTCGTCCTTGTTTTACTTCTTGGGTTGTGGATTATTCGGTATACACTAACAGTATTACCGGCTAGCAAACAAACCTAATGCCAACGCAACAAAAATAACATCAGAAAAAGGATGAGATTGAGTTACAGAACAGAACGATATAAAAGGCAAATTATTACATTGGTTTAAGAGAGCAAGAATAACATTTGTTTGTTTCACGGTGCAGTTCTTGATGCTATCGTGTGTTTATCGTTGTTATGGGTCTCGGTATTTCAGCGGTCCGACCGTACAGCAGTCGCGCCGCTGACTTCTATTCTGGGCCATACCTCAACGTCTCTAACCAACGACAATCCTCGTTCCTTGGGCCCCAGCCTGAAAGGAGGACAAACAACCAAAGCATGTACCCGTACTTGTACGCCGTGTCCCGGTCTGACCGCTGTGACATTTCTTCCAGCCTTACACAGCACCTGAAAAGGTAGACAATGGACAGGCATACGGTATACAAACCTACTATAATTCTTATGCGAGTGATGCATATTAAACTAAGTTTTTTTTATTACACCAGTGTGTGATGAATAGCAGTTGGGGCGGACTCCATAGTCACGAAGACCTGCTGTTCAGCCATAGTAACTGACAACCTTAGCCACATAAGGCCCCGCTTGCTCAGCCATGGTATTAAGTCACATTTGTTGTTTAGGCAAAATTGCGTCCTTGATTGTCGCCTTTGTTTTTGCCTCATTTATCACAGGCCGAGGCTGCTGTTGAGCGCCTAGCTCCTTTAATTGCCGACCCGGAGCGAGTTGATGAAGTCCAGTTTCTGCTTCTTGAACAGCGGTTCTTGGAACACCTCGAGGCGAATGAAGTTATGCCCGCAGTTACGTTATTACGTAATCGAATAACGCCTATGCAGCGCAACACGGAGCGCGTTCATACGTTAGCGAGGTAAGCAGGTTTTCAACCAAGTTCATGATTCACTTATCTTTGAGAACGATAATTGTTTATCACTGGATTGTAGGAAGATATGCTGTCGTTACATCAAATAATATCCCTTTAGGTAAGGCATTTTTTTGAACAAGACAACAGTATCTCTGTTTACCACTGTTCAAACCTAAATTTGTGTGTGAACCGGTGAAAGTTAGCCTGACTTTCATCGTCGGCTTATTACAAATTGTACACCATACTATCCGGAAAATTCATCAAGAATTAACTCAAGTCAACTTCTTGTTGGAACATGTAATGTGCATGCCTCATAAGCGCATTTATTGCTCTACGTTTACAATGAAGGAGCAAATCATATACAGTACATAAATAAATGCCAGAACAGGATGAAATCAAATTGACCGAATTCTGACCTCCATTAGGGCTTGTTACCGGCTGACTTGAGGTATTCATGGATTGATCGTTCTTGTTAATATTTTCTTGCATAGCAGATCGATTTGTATTCACGCAAAGGTAAAATATTTTCAAATGTCGTTTTGCATCATTTTCCTGTCGTCAGTGATTTAGCCGTTGATCATCTTAGATATTTTTGGTACAATTGTCAGTCATCGTGATCGGTGGCTTTCGCCTCGTTTTGTTCCACTGCAGAACATGTAAATCAAAAATTTAAAAAAAAAAACAGGATTTAATACGATGGTCTGTTGGGGACAAAAGCACACAAATATCTCTGAAGAATTATCATGTGCTCGCCCAGCTTGTCAGTTAGATTGCAAATTTGTCATCACTCTGAATGAGGTTCTCGATTAGGTTATGATTGAGGAGTCTACTAATGCCCCTTAACTTATGAAGATAACTTGGTTGGTTGATATCACGCCGAGGTTTCTAATCCATTTTTTCAGTTGTCTGTTTATTCAGTAAATATTGGAGTAGACCCCGTGTTTGGGGTTCGGCTTCGATCGATCTGGCATCACCTGCTTTCCTGTTGCGAAATGATACAGTTTAGTCCTGTCTGATTCACATTGAATGAGCAGATCGCTGTCGATGTATCGGCTGACCGGGTTTTTTAAGAAAATTGATAAGCTCATACCGGCTTGTCTGACCATTTCAACGTTTCTAAAGTCGAATTTGTGTCTTTGATCTCTGAATTGAAAGGGAGGGAGAAAGAGGGTGCACTATGTCCCGTCCCGGCCATTTGACGTTCATGTATTGTTTCCGTTTGGCCGACGTATTGCTTGTCATTTGATTCCGTAAATAGTATTTCACCGATTTTTATCTCCCAATTGTTCCTTTGGTTTTGACGAAATTCTTCGAGAGTTGTTTTTGGTTTATGAGATACTTCAGCTGTGTACTTTAAGCATTTGTATTTTCTCTTCTAATCCATTACGCCGATTGAGGAGGGTTACTCCTGATGAAATTCTTTTGTTGCTGTCCATCGTTGTGTCGAAAGAAGTTTCGAATGTAACTATTGCCAGGAAACTAGTTGGAGGTATTTTTGACATTTTGAACTTCTAGCACTGCCAATCAAGTCAGTACGGCCTCCTTTATATCGTTTCGGATGATTTCTGTTGTATCCCAGGTTCTGGTCGTTGTTTCGCCATATTTTCGCTACAAGGAATGATGAAATTGTTTTTCCATTTATTTACGAAGCTCGATATCGTCAGAGTTCGTTGATCAAAATAAAAATGCTTTCTGTAGCGGTATGGACCGGAACAGCTGATTGGCTTTGGCCCTTAAGCCAGAAATTAGACGTTTCAGAATGCCTCAACTCTCGAGCCTTGGTTCGCAGGTCGAAAAAATACTATTACGGTAAATTCAACAAGCTACTCATCTGCGGACAGATCTCAGCTTTATGTTTTCGACTACCACCCACTTAAAGTGTGTACGAACTCATTTTATCGGAATAAAACGAGATGAATCAGAACAAGAGAAGTCTTCTCGTTGTGAAGAAGAACAAACCAGTGACTTCAAACGAGATCCTCACTCTATCAGTTCCAATCTTTACATCGCTCAGTTTCCACGAAATCTTGTATGGCGTTGATGAAGATCGTATCCAGTGGTGAGAGGCTCGAGTCGCTATCATAGTTCTCTAGCCAACGTGGGTCTGTGTTCTTGGGAGTAAGATGATCGGTCATAAAAGACTATTTGAGCGTCTCTGCTAATCCGTAAGTTAGCCCTTTGTTACAACCGTCAGCCTTCTCCTTAATCTGGTACAGCCTTTCTAGCCTTGTCGATACTGTCCTCAGATACTCGCGATTCGCTTTGTGTTCTATGTTAAGTTTCCGGTAAGTGGTTGTCTTGGATTATTTCCTTTGCGTTTGTACTGTAGTTCACTTTGCCCATGTTACCTGGCAATAGGCATTAGTAGATTGGTAACATTTATATCCCTTTCCAACATACTTAGCGTCTTATTCGATTTCGAAAGGACATTTAACAGTTTATCTTCACGCCCGTTCTTATTCTTCTCAGTATTCTTTGTTTCATCCTGCATTTTGCAGCCCCATCCTGTTATGTATACTAAATTCAGGTTAGACAAGTAGATATATTTCTAATCGAAACATCCTTTTTCTCGGTGGTTATTTAACTGGCAATCCAACCGTACTCTTGTTATCGGCGACTTTTTTTTAAATCTTTAATGCACATAGGCATATACGATAAAAGAGTTATTCCTCATAATCCAAGGAATCATTCAAACTAGAATCAGTTTGTTGATTCAACGTTTAAAGGCAAGCGTGTTGTTAATTGGAGGGAAAATTGGCAGTTCATTGTAGTTCAGACTTTCCTCGTCCAGCGTTGTTTTACACATCTATCCTCTTCGTTCAACATGTCTTGGCTTTTTCCTGTGCGAACCTGCATTATTTGGTAACCCCCTCATATCTTTTTGGCTATTTTATGCCTTACACAATGTGTATCTTTTCCCTCCGATATGTAGCTGTTTAATGTGCCGCACCAGTGCAGAATTGCGAGCCCAAGCCGGTGGTTGGGCTGGCAAAGATTCTGGTAGCAGGTTGCAGCTGATCAATCGAATTCAGTCCTATGTACCGGCGCAAACCATGCTTCCCCCTCGTCGCCTAGAGGTACTGGTCAACGAGGCTGTGCGTGCTCAGTTATCTTCGTGTATCTTTCACAACCCGCCGCCAGGAGCCCCTATGGACTTACATAGCATTTCGTTGCTCCAGCATCATTCATGTGGCATGTGAGTTCCAAGTGTGCCATCATTTACATTTCTTTTCATTCGCTAGCCTGTGTCTCTTAATCTCCCTTTCTTACCGACTAGTCAGACTTCGCGGATCTATTCAGAATCAGAAATAACCGACTGCAAAAGGCCTCATGAGTTACATTTCACTTCAGGCTTCGATGCTGTTTACTGATGACTTATGCAATCATTCATCTTGCGACTAGCAAGTATTTCTCCATAGCTCTAGTAATGCCGTGCGCATTGTAGGGTGGTGGCTGTTTTTAGCAGTTGATTGAATTCATTTAGAGATGGAATGTAGAGAAAAAGTAAATTTCCTCTCGTCATACGGTCGCATTATTAGAATTAGACAGCATCTAATTCTGTATTCTGTTTTTCCTGGCCTGCACCAAGGAAAGCACAATCAATTTCAGAACCCCGAGCTTTAACCCCGTATTTCCTATAGTACTTACTGTACCTTACAGGGAAAGAGCAAGTTCCCATTGGAAGGATTGGAACAGACTTCGGGATCTTGACGGGGAACGGGTGCGTAACGTTGCCCACAGCCATCAATCGACAGATAATCTAAGATTTGTCAAATCAAATCAATCTGTTTATCCATCTTAGCCTCAAATGGAGGATTGGGCTACATGAAATATGGTGCTAAACGCGAGAGTATCTGCGAATGCTGGTGTTTGGGCAACTACGGGTTCTTGAGAATGGAAACGAAGCATAGCTTCATCCGAATTGGATGTCGTATCCACCAGGAGAACTTACGGATGGACGACACGATTGTTTCGACGACTGGGGGAAAGTATTGCATCCACGTCTCCTTTCAGACCTAAGACTGGTCTTTCGACGTCCTAGGGTGAAGTGCGTTTGATGACTATTTTTAAGATGTTGCATGATGATATCCTGCAAATCAGATAACCTTATAGGGGAGTTCGTTAATCGTCCAGTTTGATTTGTGAGAATCTGATCTAATACCGATGTCGATTTGCACCTTAGTTTTTACAACCATTAACCATGCATTTTTACGCGCCAGTTTTGGTTACTATCTTTTAGCTGTCCATCTGGATAAAAGAGCAGAATGAAGATTGGAATTTTGGGAGCAGAGTCAAGAGTGGCAACCTATTAGGTGACATGCGCAATACGTGTCCCAACCAACGTAATTTATGCAGGTTGACCACTTGCTCTGGTGGGCAACCGCGGTTACCTAAAACTCTGCGTCGAACTTCAACACCACTTATCCCCATCCAACTCGTGCAATGCTGTGTAGACAGCGGTGTTCGAACACCGACAATCTGCTATCTTGTTCCCGTAATGGCTAAGTTTCTGCACCGTGGAGCAGGACCAGTCAAGCTGCTGCACTATGCACTCGACGGTTCACATACAACCGGATGTCGCAAAGGCTCCACAGGTGTCTCAAGTCGCCAAATGCCGATCGAGCCTCCTGTGTGTATGTCCACATTTCGCCCAAGGATTCGTCCACCGGGTGACATAGCTGCCCAAATAGCGAAATTCGCCTCAGTTTCAGTTCAGTTTGTACAACCATTAACCATGCACTGTCGTGCGCCGGTTTTGGTTCCTGTCTTATGGCCGCCCTTTGGATGGGCATTAAGAGAAAGACAGGAAAGGTTGAAAGTAGGATGAAAGAGAAAATTTAAAATTTCAGTAGATTGATGTTGCAGAGAAATTGACAAAATGCACGAATGCCACTGTTTACGACAGCCATATTACTCAGTGTCTCTAACCATCGAGTGCAATCATCTCGAGGTCCTAACGCGGCCCATGTAACCCAGTCTCCTGGTTAGGGTTTTCATACCTTCATGCCAGCTCGTAGCTTGACCATCCTTGGCTTTCATCCACCCACTACATACCTCGCAAACATCGCTCGCCGTGGCAACCTATCTGGTGACATGCGTAGCACATGTCCCAACCAACGTAATCTATGGAGGTCG